ATAAGCCGATTATCTTTAGCAATTAATTAGATGTTCTAGAAGGACAAGAACATGCCGGATAGGATGATCGATCATTTTAAACTCGGAAATTTCCCCATTTACTTAGGCATTTTGCTAAGTATACTTATTGATTTTGGAGGATTATAAGCCGATTATCTTTAGCAATTAATTAGATGTTCTAGAAGGACAAGAACATGCATATTTCGGCCAAGCTTGGGGAGCAAGAAGCCAAAATTGACTAAGTTAAGGTTTGAACTAATAATTGGAGGGCCATCATTAGAAGAATCTTATAAGATAAGATCTTCATTAATGAATGTGATATTGAAATCTCTAGATGTAGGGCAATAATGGGAGCCAAAACAAAATCATTAATGAGGAGACCAATAATAAAAGCTTAGGTGTCCCCTTGAAATTAATACAAGAGCTTAGGTGTCATCTAGGACATTAATGCATTAAGATGACCAATATATCCTAAGATAGGATATTATGACCCTAGATGGACACTTGGTGATTGGTTGGGCCATCAAATAATTAGGCCAGGATTTGATCAAGATTTTCCTAAGATTGCCTCTAATAATTAAGTGTCACTCGAATGAATTTCATTGGACCATTTGGCATCGCAATTAATGAAGTCTTGGCCTATAAATAAAGAGACACTAAGCCATACTCTTCTTTTCTCCAAAACCAAGCAAGCCTCTCTCTCTCTCTCTCTCTCTCTCTCTCTCTCTCTCTCTCTCTCTCTCTCTCTCTCTCTCTCTCTCCCTACTCTCTCGACTTCTCACTCCCTCGGCCTCCATCTCTCTCATTTTCAGCTATCTCTTCTCCAGTCACTCACTCTCACCATCGCACCATCACTGAATACCCTAGAGCCCCCGAGTAGTAAATGAATTCCCCATACTTTGGTTAGGGCGTATTGTTGCGCGTTTAAACTCGAGGAGTAACTATGTTTGTGATGCTTTGAGTTTGCACATGTTTTGTTGTTTTGCATGTGACCGTGAGTTATGGCACAACCGAGCCACGAAACAGGGTGTCATATGATACTCATTTTGTGGTGTTCCGAGACGAGCTCGGCTTGGTGCGGGTTTTAAATTGAGACGTGTAGAATCGGGCCAAGTTCGGCACCAAGCTGACACTCGGCATGGTGGACCGAGTCACATGCCCTCGACCGCGCTCCATATGTTAGGCAATTTGTCCTAGAGAGCATGAATTACACAAGCACCACATGTTTGCATGGGTTAATAAGATCAAGATAAAAACCGAAAATGTGTGTTGGTTGTTGCATGATCACATGAGGGACTATGGCCGTCACCGATGGATTTCGGGACGTTGTCGCCGCCGATAGATTTCGAGGCGATGCCGTCTTCGATGGATTTCGAGACGATGTCGCTATTCGATGGATTTCGAGACGATGCCCGAGGGAGTACTCGGATGCCTGCTGGTAAGCCGGAAGGATAGATGGATTTCGGTCATGAAATGATGAATCCCATGTATTGATCTTTACATGCAACTTTGAAAATCATGCTTAATGTTTTCTTGCTTGTTGAACATGCCATGTTTAATACAAAGGCATAGTAAGATGCATTTGCTATTGATCTACCATCGACAAGCTAACGGTAACGTGTATTTCTCTTCTTCAATGCGAGGCTATTTCTTCGCTGAAGCATAGTGAATTTAACCTACTAAGTGTCGACTCACTTTATATTGTTTTCAGCTTTGTAGATATGGCCACGCCACCTCCCGTTCGTTTTGGTCGTCCCGTAGAAATGCATGTTCGGGTCGTAGATATTGTCGACATAGAAGCCAGTGTCACATACCGAAAGTATAGTACAACCGTTTGGGTTCAAGTGAATGCGAATAAGATGGTCCCCCACCGTTACTTAGCATGGTTCGTTTTGATGGATGGAGATGTGATCGGACCCATTGATGGGTATAGTGGACCACTCGGGGTCGGAGTGGATGAATCGTAGTGAGATGGCTAAGCTTGGGATGGAGACTAACCTTTTTGTTTTGTTTTATGAAGGGACATTAGTGAAGCTAAGCTTAACCCAGCCATGTAAACGTATGTAAGCGGATACCGGACGAGATCCGAATGTAAGCACGTAGTAAGGAAGGCCCATAGAAAGATGGGCTTGTAAGATAAATAACTATCATGTAAATTATGCGTGCTTGTATAATATGTTGCTTCCCTCACTTTGTGCTCTCGTTATTGTTTGGTATTTGCTTCCGCTTGTGTTTAATCAAGAAAATAATAATGGGACGTTGAGACAAATCACCGGAATCCACATGAATCACGGCCAAGCCGGGATCAAGTGCCCCGGCCTTGTCTCGGGGCATGGTGCTCTCGTTATTGTTTGGTATTTGCTTCCGCTTGTGTTTAATCAAGAAAATAATAATGGGACGTTGAGACAAATCACCGGAATCCACATGAATCACGGCCAAGCAGGGATCAAGTGCCCCGGCCTTGTCTCGGGGCGTGATAGTATTCATCGTCTTGAAAAAGATAGAAAACCCGATCATGAACAATTGAGTTAGCAATGCTTCGAAAATGTCGACCACGTGGTTAGAAGATCTGTATTATTACACCTTTACATATGATCAAGCCTAGTCGATCGGAGCTCGAATTTCCCGATTACTATTTTGGAGTCGAGCTCGAGCAAGATATGTAGTATTCTATCGAGCTTGAGCAGCGCTTTCAATCTCCTAGTGCATGCATGGAGTCGAGTTCGATCTTCATCCGACGCTATCTCGTAAGTTTATGTCACGAAAAAGCTAGGTAAATTTGTCAGAAAAAATTAATTTAAAGTAAATTTATAAAAAAAATTGTACGAATGCTAGGTTTTCTCTTCATGATTGGGGGCCCCAATATTCCAACTGGCAACGATTTGCGTACTTGCGGATTAAAAGAATTAAGTATAATAATCCAAAAGATTAATATAATGATTAAGTTGCCCTGAAATTCGTGGCTCCTAACTAAAACAATCCACGTGGGACCCACGCCATGTCAATATGATAATCATAATAGGTTTTACGTACATATAGCCTTCATTTGCCTAGTAACTTAGAACAAACCGAGGGATTAGACTCTCTAATCTGGATATGATCACGTTATGCATTACTTGTGATCCAACAAGAAGTTTGGGAGAACTCGTAATGAAAATGATTAGTGCCATCAAAATTTTTAAACTGGTACACTCATGACAAATTTATATCAAACTAATTTTTTAATCACCAATAACCCCAAACTGGTATACTTGTGATAAATTTACCTTCTGTTAGTTTCCGTTAAATTTTACTGTCAAATTGATTTGATAAGTGTACCAGTTTAGGGTTTTACCCCTTTGTTTGTCACAAATTTATCAGTTTGTGGTTTTTTATGGTACCAATTCAATTTAACATATGGTAAATTTGTTACGGGTGTACTAATTTGAGATTTTTGTTGATTAAAAAATTAGTTTATGTTAAATTTGTAACGGGTGCGCCAGTTTAGGATTTTTGATGGTCAAAAAATTAATTTTGGTTAAATTTATCATAGGTATATAGATTTGGGGTTTTTTGTGGTATTAACCCTAATGTAAATGGCTTGATTGGGTCTCTTGATTTTTCTGTTTACAGAGTTTTCGATATGTCCTTTGCTCGCGGTTTATTTATCTAGCGCTTCTTTGTCGTGAAAAAATGGAAGAAAAAAGAGAGAGAATGTTTTGCTGGGTGCTCTTTTTTTTTTTATTTTATCAAATGCAGCTGTTGTACAGAAGATTTTACAGTGACCAACTGATGACACTTTATGATTTTTAATACGCCGGTTGTGCTCGTGTTACGTGTCGCATTAATATTCTGGAAATCGAATAATTTCACGTGAAATATGCTCAACAACTGCATCGAAGGCACTACCCCGCGTAACCCTCATACACACGGGCCGAAAAGGAGTACCCTTCGAAAGTACATCCGTGGACCGGTCGCAATTAGAAATTCCTTATGAAAATGCACGAACTGCTTAACGCCGACCCAATCTCGTCGTGGGTGTAAATTCTTCAAGGTACTTCTAACGGAAACAAATGGGATGAACGTAAACGATTCTCTTCCAGTGATTAAAGTTCTCCACAATTGGGGGGCGCAATGCCGCAAGTCGTGGGCAGGATGAAGATGACGTCAGCAACGAGAGGTGAATCTAGTAGACACTAGGGTATTTCCTGGAACGGAACTTAAGCCCATTTGGTTTAGCATTTGGAAGGGGCTTTTGGCCTCGAAAGCCCCTTCGGGAAATGCTGAACCAAACGGTCCAGCATTTAGAAGTCCATTGGCCAAATGCTAGCATTTGGAATGCTGAAAGACTAGCTTTGGGCTTTCAGCATTTGGCAAATGCTGAACCCAAATTTTTTGTTCCCAAACTACCTTCACTTATTTTGACTTATTCCGATTTTGCCCCTCTTGTTACTGTTGATCTTTTTCGTGAGGTGGCTAGCGAGGGAGGCCGGCGAGGGCGGCCGACACCGGATCGGACCGGCGAGGTCGCATGACCCAAGCGACAGCCGCCTGAGGTCGCGCTGTGACATCCCAAAATTCCATTCGCTAGTTTAACGAACATACGTAACGGAACGTTACGTGGGAATTGAAATAATCGACGACGAGCTACGGAAGCATCAACTTCGGAAGACACGGACGCTATTACGAAATCACCGTACCGTCACTTTGTCAACCACCGCAGGACCATCCTATAATTATCTATCATTTTATTCGTTAACGTTGTGTTACGAATTAACCGTCCTGATTAACCGTCCTGACGTTATCATGTCCTTTGTTTACACTGTAAACTTTAGTCACGTTATCCACCCGAGTTGAATTCTTGCACGCCATTTCCTTTTCCACCGACTTCATGCAAAATGATCAGCCCACTCTTCTACTTTGTTTTCCATTTTTTTCCACGCCATTTGCTTCCCCCACCGCCCAGCTGTCCCATTTCATTTCTTCAGTCAACAAATTCTGCTCTTCCTCAGTCAACCGGCGAAGGAGAATTGTCCAGCAAAGCCCCCAACAAAATTCTGCTCTTCCTCAGTCAACCGGCGAAGGAGAATCGTCCAGCAAAGCCCCCAAGCCTCTGATTTTTCTTCACTCTTGCCGACCTATTCTTCTTCTTCTTCTTCTTCCCTTCTCATTCTGTACCGCCCAAAAACAGAACCTCTTCCTCCGTTGGTTTTCTTCTGTTCTGAATCAAGTTCATGGCCCGACACCACCAGCTTGCTGTCCATCCTAGCGAGCCGTTTCCAGACCTTCACGCCGCCAAGTTCCTTCTCACCGTGGGCTTGAGGTGCAACGAAAGGCTTGAGAAGAATTTTCTGTGGTCCCCTTTCCATTTCCGAACCGCGCCGCGCCTTATTCAGCCGTTAAGGCAAGTGAAATTCTGCCTCCCTATAGTAGATCGGAATGGATTGCATGTTGGCATGGGTTTAGGATATTGATGGATATGGATGGTGGTGATGGAAATTAGCTGCTGGTTTGGGTGTTTTTGAACACCAAATTCGTGTAGATCAAGTCATGAGTTATTCTTGAACTTGAGTTGTGATTTCCAGATTCGGTTTCTACTGGACCTTTACTGCTTTCCAATTTTGTAGAGATTTCTGTGGTTAGAATTTTGCAAGACTTCCTTCATGAAAGTTGTTCAAAACATCTGGAAGTATAACATATTTTAATTTCATAATTTTTTGAGTTGTTTTGGGTAGCACGAACACCAAATTTCTAACCCTTGCTTGACTGCCCAGGTGCTCTGTTTCAGTGACCTTTCCACATTCTTGAATTTTTATAAAATTTTCTAGAATTATTCTGAACAAACTTCCTTCACAAAATTTCTTGAGGACATCTTTATCTACAACATATTTAAATTTTAGAATTTTTGGAGATGATTTGAATACTGAAATGTACTCATTTTTAGAGGCAAGGATTCTGTCCCGATGAACAGTTTTTAGTCTGACTTTAAGCTCCCGAACGAGGCATTTAAAGACATAATTAGATTTTGAATCCTTCATGAAAAATGTTTATCAAGGTGTCTTTGGTGACATATCCCAAATTTATAATTTTTAAAGTTCATTCACTATTTATTTAAGTCTGATTTTAAAATTGGTGCAAGGCTGCCCAGTTTTACCAATTTATAAAAACTTACTATTTTCCAAATGAAATTGCTGGAATCTCAGTTTGATGTCTTCTGGAGATGAAATGTATAAACTCTGATCTTTCCAATGAGTCATGCTAGACCTTGATGTGGTTAGCCACGTGTCGTGGGATGTGTTGTTGACGATTAGTCAAAGCGGTGCTTTAGTGAACGAGACCGCGTATGCGACTTACAATATGTCCTACTAAAGTGGTAAACTATGAATGATGTGATATTGAGAAAGGATGATTGTTGTTGATGAACTGTGTACTGCACGAAATGATTAGTTTGTGTGGGTTTGATGGGTTATTAAATGCCGTTGGTCAGTGAACCGACGATGCCCCGAGGAGCCGTAGGGAATGCGGGATGCCGTGGTCAGTGGACTACGATGCCTAGGATGAGAATGCCCTAGATGCCCTGGGAGTTTGATCGGAATGCCGTGGTCAGTGGATCACGAAGCCTGCACGGGCCGTTGAAAATTCCGGCGTACACCGCGGCGGATCGGAGTGCGCACCGAATTCTGCTAGACGGGAGTTTTCCTCCTTGCGTGTCCGGCGAGCGCACTGGGCATGTGACTTGGAGTAAGCTAATGATACCCAAGCAAGAGTGAAGTTGTGTGTGTATGTTTGAATCGTGTTGTTGATTGTGATTGCTGAGTTAAAGTATCACACTTGAGATGATTACTAGCATGAGCACAGCAAAATATGATTTTTTATGATTAATATGATTTTTATGATTAGTAAGTCTAGCTAGAAGACTGTGATACCTATGCCCGTTGATATGTATTCTATTCTTGTTTGGTATAGATTGACAGACATTTTACTTCTTGAGCCTAGCTCACTGTTGTTGTGACAAACTTTTACAGATCTTTAGCTATGCCTATCCTACCCGCCTCCTCCTCAGTTAACTATGGGGCCCCGATCGACTTCTCGGGACACCTGTCAGAGTTCGAGATTCCTTATGTCCCTGGGATAGTGTTCGTGCGATGTATCTCAGTATTGACTGTAGATGTTGGGCCCCTTGTAGGATCTATATTGTTAGGTTTTTTGGTGGTGTATGCTCGTGTTGGTGGGCGACTGATACGGCCCCTACCGTACGGGTCCTATGACGGGGATGACGATGCTTCTAGTGGGGTGGAGTAAGCTGTAGTTGGAGGATGGGGAGGATCATTTTTGGGACATGTGACCGACACTTTTTGGGATAGGGTCACGTGATAGGTGATACGCTTTTGATAGATGAAATGGTGAGTCTTATGTTGATAGCATAGTGATGGGAGTAGCACTGTACAGAGCCTCCCCAGTATGAACTCACCCTTGTATCATCCGTGTTTATAAATAAGCAAATGTTGAAGTTTAGCGCCAGTGATATCTTTACATTTTTTTTATTAGTTATAAACTCAAGTTTTTAAATGCTATTTAAAAAAGAAACGTTTCCGCGTGTGAACTCTTATTATTGCGTGAGGTTAGAATGACATATAGGAAGGGGTGTGCCTAGGATGCCACACGCGCGACCACCCAGGTGCCGCTAGCTTGGGTCGCGCGAGGCCGTCTACCGCTTGGGTCACTCGACCACAGGCGGCCGGCGCCTGGGTCGTTCGACCTCAGGCGGCCGTCACCTGGGTCGCGCGACCCTCGCCGAGGGTCACCCGACCTCGGGTGACGACCTTCGGCGGTAGATCTGGCTCGCCGGGGGTCGTTCGACCTCGGGCGATGGCCGTTGGCGCCGGATCTAGCTTGCCGGCGGCCATAAGTCTTCGCCAGCTCCAGCGAAGGGTAGGGTAGGTTTTTTTTTTAGTAAAAAAGATAATTCTCAAAGCCCTTTTGCAAAAAAAAAAATTTACCAAATACTATTTGGGCCAAAGTAGTTTTACAAAGGATTGTTTACCGAACACCATTTGCATTTCCCCAAGGGGGCTTTAAGCTAAAAGTATTTATATTCCCCCAAGTAGCATTTGGAAAGTTGAACCAAACGGGCCCATAGCACTAGAGGCGAATCTAGTACCAGAGAAGACACGAGGGTATTTCCTCGAAGGACCTCGGCTTTTATAGGTCAATGATTCAGCTCGAGGCATACGAGGATCAATGTATGCACGTGCACTAATCGGGGTATTGATTGGCAGTTCCTATCGACCGATAGGACGCTTGCACCATAAACTAAAGGGCCTAATTCAAAAAAAAAAATACTAATTTTTGGTTGAGTGACAATTCTGACCTCAATTTTTTTTATCTCATAAAAAAACACCAACTTTAGGTCGAGTGACAATTCTGGTCCCAATTTTTCTTTTCTCATAAAAAATCACCAACTTTCACTTAAATCTCAAATCCGGCCCCCCTTGACTTAAAACCATTTATTATCCAACTTAGCAATAAATCCACATGACTTGCTGATCGAATTTAAAGCACTATTCATTGTCTTCTTCTCTGAGCCACAGCTTGAAGAATAACAGTAAAACTGCTCATCTCCTTCACTTCATTGGCAAGTCAAAAAGATTTCCAGATTGAATCTCTTTGGTCAGATTTCATGATTTGAAGTTGTAGACCATCGCCCATCGACAGACGCCATGGACAAGATCCGTCAAGCCCACAACCATAACCTTTTTTCTTAAACCAGGGTGACTTCAGACAAAAAGTCAACGGAGGGCCAGATTTGGGATGAGGGTGAAAGTTGGTGATTTTTTATGAGACAAAAAAGGTTTGAGCCAGAATTGTCACTCAACCTAAAGTTGGTGCTTTTTTACAGGACAAAAAAAAGTTTAGGCCAAAATTGTCACTCGACCTAAAGTTTGTGCTTTTTTTATTTTTTGGAATTAGCCCTAAACTAAAGATATTAAATGAATAACGTGTAAAAAAGAAGAAAAATAAGATTTAAAAAAGAGGGATTAATATCACGAAAATCCCAAACCGGTACGCTCGTGACAAATTTACTCCGGACTATTTTTTTAACCACCAAAAACTCCAAATCAATGTGTGTGACAAATTTACCCTCGAACCGGTACACTCGTGACAAATTTACCTTATGTGAAATTAGATTAATACTACGAAAAATCACAAATCGGTAAACTTGTGACAAACGGAGGGGTAAAACCCCAAACTAGTACACTTGTTAACCGTTATGTGTCATCCAACTCAGCAATTTGATGGTGCAATTTAACGGAAACTAACGAAGGGTAAATTTGTCACAAACGTACCAGTTTGGGGTTTTTAGTGGTTAAAAAATTAGTTTTGGATAAATTTGTTACATGCGTACCAGTTTGAGGATTTTGTTGATAAAAAAATTAATTCAGGGTAAATTTATCACAAGTGTGCTATTTTGGGATCTTTCATAGTATTAACCCAAAATTAATTGGCCAAGTCTCCCACGTGTCAATTGATCGAAAAACCGATCGGAATCCATTCAAAAATATGTTAACCACAAACAATTGAAGATTTGGTGCATTAAGATATCAAAATTAAAGTTTAGTAATCCGGTTGTAGAATTCGCCAAATTTCAGTTACCACGGGTAGATCTTATCTAATGTTAACCATATGAATGGTGCGCGAAAGCCGACCCGAACACCACGTGATCGCTAAAATAAACCGTATGACGACATTAGAGTACAAGTGTTTTGGCCTCCGTTTGTTTTGCGAAAAATATTTTCTAAGAAGCTATTTTCCAGAAAAATGACTATATTTTTCGATGTTTGGCTGAAACTTAAAAATGAACTAGAAAATATTTCTGTTGCTCGATATGCAAAACCTGATTTGACTTTCTTAGGGAAAAATGCCCAAAAAAATTGAATTTTTAATTACTTTTTTTTTTCTTTGCTTTCTGTTTCCTTCTTCCTCGACCGGTGGCTGACGATCGACCACTGGCGAGAGACGAGCTCACCCAAGGCCGGCGAGTATTGAGCTTGCCCGATTTCGGCGAGTTGCGGCGAGCTGAACCGAAACCTCTCCTTCGCTCTTTGCTAACTCTGTCAGAAGCACTTGAAGCAAGGCCTCATTCCTTGTATTTTGGCAGCTTGCATTCTAATGAGACCGACAATGACAGCTACACCGTCCTCCTAGCTGCGAGCGATCAAATCCTTCGTACAAGCCAATTCGGAGCGGCTGAAGAGGCCTTACACGCACCCGAGGCTGGCGAGCTCAAACCTTGCTAGAGGTCGGCGAGATCGAGCTTGCTGCGACTCGTCAATCTGGTGAGGTAAAGCCTCACCCAAGGCTAGCGAGGCTCGTCACACTGAAATCTAGCGAGCTCATCCCTCGCCTGCAGCCAGCGATTGGCTGAGGAAGAAGGAAAAGGAAAAACAAAAAAAATAATTAAAGAAAAATAAAAATAATTAAAAATTCGATTTAAAAAAAACATTTTTGCAAGAACGAATGTTTAATTAACTAAGGATTTGAGCCCGAGGCCCGAGGACTTGTGCAAGGCCTTTTGTGAACCCAGGCTTGAGTGGGGGGACCTGAGCACGACATTTATGAACTCGGGTTCCGATGCCAGGGCATCGAGCCTGGGCACCGGGGCTTCGGGCCCGGCCTCAATGGACCCAAGCATGGATGCTGGGGCATCAAGGTCCCAGGCTCGGCCTCGATGGATCAGGGCTTGAGCGCCAGAGACCTGGTCCTAAAAGCCGAGAACCCGGGAACCAGCGTTGGGGTTTCCATGCCCAAACATTAAGTTTTGAGTCTAAACGCCGATACAAAATCAGATGTTGGAAAACATTTTCCGGTTTTCAAAGAGGAAATCATTTTCCTGAATTTAAACATAGGTTTCCGTCCTACTCATTTTCCTAAGCGAACCAAACGCCGAAACAAGCAGAGCCCTTAATAAGCAATACTCCGGTTTTCTAAATATCGACGGCACGTATCGTCTCGAAAGCTAATGTCGTTTTGGAAATCACATCCTATCGATTGGGGTCAGCTCAACTCCTCTTTGTCCCGCCACTTTGACCATGCTTATCTACCCAATTAGGATCTTCGTTCCATCACTATTATTATCGAGAAAGAATCCCTTAACTAAATAATGTGAAGAGAGTAAGCATGACCGGGTTCACATTGTGTTGATATAGGCACAAATTCGTTATATTAAGCAGTTTATGAATATGAGTAGAGAGATAGAGAACGATGCATATAAAGCTTATAGTGGTTCGGCTTGGTGTAAGGCCATGTTCACTTTCCCAAACTAAAAGCCTACCGGCTGAATTCCACTATCAATCTCTTTGAAGTTACAGTAGAATGTGCTGCTTATATTAAAGTACTTCTCCTTGAAGCTGGTGATAATTATACAAAAGCTTATAGATCTTACTATTTTACACCTAAGTACAAACTAAGACATTGCCAACACTTCTCACAAGATTACAATTTGAATGCTTCTCGGGAGAAATGATTGGATCAGTCAGCAAACAATGCTCCACAATGGATGGGTTGAAGGCTAGGCATGTCACTACAAGTCCAGGCAAAGATATCCCGATATTCCTTCCATAACTGGATTAGGCATCTAGTTTCGCCTTCAAGAAGGTTGGCTTCGATTTTTACCTCTTTAGTATCCACCATGAACCGTCGTCCACGAGCCACCATCCACCGGTTTGAATGGAAGTCAATATCCAAATTAGGTAAAAATCTTATCCGAATTCAATTAAAATATTTTATTGTCTATTTTGAGTGATCGTTATCTAGTTAAATATATGAGTGATAAGCATTATGAATTGGGAAAAATTTCATAATCTGCAATGTGCACATAATTTTAATTTGATCTTTAAGCCTTGAGATGAAATTATGGTTTAAGCGGAAGATTGGTAACTCTAATCTTTAAGGCTTAAGATCAAGTTGTCGGTCTTATTTGCGATCGAATTCGGATTGGATGGATTTTATATACATGTTTGAATTTATCTCTTTTGATTTGTTTCTTATTTTGTTTGATTGTTTCCTTACAAGAAAATACAAAAAAATAGCACATTAGATTATAATAATCTTTTCTAGATAATGTTGCATGTTTAAGATAGGATTTTAAGTTCGAATAGACTGGAAAAGATTTTTCTAGATAATCTTGCATGTTTAGGGTAGACTTTAAATAAGACTTCCTTGATAAGATATGATAGTTTTAGGTAGATTGCATATTTGGATAGATTTTAAGAGTGTAGAATAAGTTTCCGATCTAAATTAAGATTTGACTTAGTTTATTTCCTAGTATAAATCGGATGATATATTTCTCTAGATAATTTATTTTCATTAATTTTTAATTACGAATTTTAATTGAAAATCAAAAAATATCATGTGCATGTCATATAGGATTAGAAGCATAATTTCCACGTCATATTGCTATGCCATGCCATGTCATATGCCACATCATTCATATATACCATAACATCATGCTATGTCATCATTGCCATGTCATACGCAATGTTACCATCCCCATCATCATCTATGTCATGTTATCACTTGCATGTCATTTAGTGATTGCATGTTAGGGTTCATTTAATTAGAATCGCATGTCATGTAGGTTAGTCTTTATTTTAAGTTAAAAGAAAACCTGAAAATAATTGATTGCTTTGGAACGTTTAATTTCTTTTATTTCTCGCAATTTATTCATTTATCTGTTTTCATTGTTGAGTGTCAATTTTATTGATTGCGCACCCACACGACACTCCTTGCATGTTAGGGACTAGGTTAAAATCAATACAAGTTGCCTGATAAATATTTTTGAGAAAATTTTAGATAAGGGCACGAAGTGCCCTCATTTTCTTAAATAAGGGCCTAAAGTGGTCCGAAGTAGCCCGACGTGGACTTTATCTCAAATAAGGACTTGAAATGGTCATATTAGTCTAAAAAAGGAACCTGACTTCGCTGGACGAAGATAATTTTCATCATTTACTTTTTTGAATATTTTTTCATTTTTTCTTTCTTTTTTCCTTTTTTTTTGTTTTTTTCTTTTCCATTTCTTTTTCTTTTTTCTTTTTCCTCTTCCCTCCGTTGGGTCTCGTCGATGGCCGACGGAGGTCAGTGGTCTCAAACGAGATGCCGATGAGGCTCGCCCTCACCTGGGCTAGGCAAACGGGGACGACCCTTGCCAGATCCGACGAGGGCAACCCTCACCCTCGCCCACCCAAGCCACCGGCGTCAGGCAAGGGCCGACGACCCTTATCCAAATCTGGGAGAGAGTTGCCGCCCTCTCTCGCTAGAAGGCCCTTGCCTTTGGTCGGCGAGGGTCACTAGCCCTCGCTATGGCACTGGCGACCCCGCCGACCATCTCCGTTGCCCCACCGGTGATGGGGCAGCGGCCACAAGTGGGAGGGCTCTGTTGGAATTTTTTTCTTTTGAAAAATTATTTTTAATTTTTAATCTAATTTAACTAAAATTTACATTAAATTATATTTTAACGAAAATACCTTTGACCGGCCGGAAAATTTAGCCGCTCGGCGAGCCAACGGGGTTAGGCCCTTATTTAAAATTGTTATAGCCACTTCAGGTTCTTATTTGACATAACGTCCACTTCAGACTTTTATTTGAGAAACTGAGGATATTTCATGTCTTTATTTGGAATTTTTTCAATATTTTTTTGAAAATAAAAGAGAAAAGATATAGAAAAGAATAAGAGCAATCTATCGTAATCAAGTCTCCACGTTCATTTAATCTCTGGTTCGTAATAGTAAAGTACCCTCCCACACATGACTTGGGTTTCTAATTGACCCCGAAGTAAAATTGATTTTTGTGTTAACTTGAATTAAGTTGCGAGTTGGCATGGGCTTTGTAAGTAAAAATGTGATCTTGGGCTCAACAAAGGGACGGATAACTGACATAAAATCGATCAGACAACACCCATGGTCATCGATTAAGAGTAATAGGCCAAGTTGGTTGTCGACGTAAGATGACAAAGGGTCAGTAGTAATACAAGAGTGGAGAAGAGTCAAACCGGAAGATATCCCAAAGCTTATAACCAATCATGGATAAGAACGTGCAGTTGAGGATGGTTAATACGAAGCCGGGAATCTCGGGAGCAGTTGTAATTGGTAATTGAAAAGATAGCGAGACAGTGATGGTTATATTTTGTACAAGATTATAGAAGGCCAAGAAGCATCAATTGTAAAGAATTCATGCTCAACAACACTTATGCAATTTTATCTACTTCCAGTTTCCAGTTTATCGATTTATTATTCTTTCGTCATTCTTTATTGGGTTTAATATTACAAAAAACCTAAAATTGATACACCTGTGACAAATTTATCCCAAATTATTTTTTTGATCACAAAAAATCCCAAACTGGTACACCTGTGACAATTTTACCCCGAACTATTTCTTTGATCACCAAAAACCCTACATTAGTACACCTGTGATAATTTTACCCCGAACTAATTTTTTGACCACCAAAAACCCTAAACTGGTATACCTGTGATAAATTCACCCTCCGTTAGTTTTCGTTAAATTTTACTATCAAATTACTAAGTTTGATGGAACGTGATAGTTGACGGGTGTATCAGTTTGTGGTTTTACCCCTCTGTTTGTCCCAAGTTTACAAATTTGTGATTTTTCATTATATTAATCCAATTTAACGGACACTAACAGAGGGTAAATTTGTCACAAATGTATCAGTTTGGGGTTTTTAATGGTAAAAAAATTAGTTTGGAGTAAAATTGTCGTATGTGTACCAGTTTGGGGTTTTTGGTGGTCAAAAAATTAGTTCGAGATAAAATTATTACAAGTATACTAGTGTGAGATTTTTTGTGGTCAAAAAATAGTTCGGGGTAAACTTGTCACGGTGTACCAATTTAGGGTTTTTGATGGTAAAAAAATTAGTTCAGGGTAAAATTATTACAGGTGTACCAATTTAGGGTTTTTCGTGATATTAACCCTTCTTTATTCTTTCGATTCGTTTTACTTAGCATTGATAATCCTTGTCACGCAAATTGTTTCCTATCTGAGTCACCACATAATTTGTTTCATCTAAAAAATCAAAGATCAAACCTTTGGTGAAAGGTATTTCGTTGAAAAATCAATTTCGGCGAACAATTGGTAATCCATGTCATGCCAATTATTTCCCGTTTGAGTCACCACAGATTTTGATTCATCTAAAAAACCAAAGATCAAATCTTTGGTGAAAGGTATTTCATCGAAGAACCACTTTTGGCAAAACGATAATTTTGTAAGAGTGTTGCTAAGTTTCCAACAAGTTATCAGGAACTGATAGATCCAGAAATTTTCACTTATCAATACTTACTGAAATATATTGGCATGACAAAGGCGCGTTATAACAGAATTTTGCAATTACAAAAGACTGGATGTTGAATTTGGCGGGGAAAGCAATTTGTGAGGCTCTAAATTGAAGCTTCTTGCGATGAGGACAAAACACATTGATTATAACAATTTGATTAAGTTATCGACCAAAGTCATCAGATACCGTTTTTATTCTAGCGGACAAAGTTTGTCTTGAATCCGAGGATAAACCAAATAAACAATTGAGACAACAATAAGCCTCACAATACATCGAGAATCTACCTAAATTTCTTCTTAATCACCATGGAAACTGGGAAATTATATTCACTTCCAGGTTTAACATGGGATCGAGGAAATTCTTATTCCTCTCTAATATATAGTTGTTTTGCCGGAATCTAAATTCAAGAAAATATGTGTATTTTACCAAAAATATTGTATAAACTTTTTTCTACAAAATAAACCACGCGACGAACATAATCGATAACAATTACGTAGAATGTAACCCTTAACACGCATTTCTTTTTCTTCTTTCATATAGGAATGGGCACAGCCTTTAGAGACTCAGCCCGTTGGATGGTTATTCCGAACTTGTCTTCCATGTTCATGTTCTCAGGGGCAACGCCTTCTTCAAGCCTCCAATTGAAAATATTAATGAGCGAACCGAGCATCAAAGGCAACATTCTCGTGGCCAATGGCAATCCCGGACAAATCCGCCTGCCACCACCGAAAGGTAGGAGCTCGAAGTTTTGTCCCCTAACATCGATATCCGATCCAAGAAATCTCTCGGGCATGAACTTGTCTGGATCGTCCCAAATGCTAGGATCTCGACCCATCGCCCATACATTGATGAGGACTTGTGCACCCTTTGGAATCGTGAAACCACCTGCAATGAAATCTTCTCTGGATTTCCGAGGAACAAGGAGAGGAGCTGCTGGGTGAAGTCGGAAATTCTCTTTTACGATAGCTTGTAAATAGGGTAAGCGAGGAATATCGGCTTCTTCAATCTGCTTGCCTTTGCCAATGACTTGATGGAGCTCGGCTTGGGCTCTTAATAGCTTTTCTGGGTTGCAAAGTAGTTCTGTCATCGCCCACTCCAGAGTACTCGCAGTAGTTTCGCCACCGGCGACGAATATGTCCTGCGTGATCAATGTCGCAAATAAAAGATTTTGTACCTAGAAATTAGATATTAATCATCACAAATAAGGAAGCATAATAAATGGACACAGTACCAGACATAGATGCTTGACCAAGGACATGTCCAGGGTCTCATTTTTATCTTCAACTAAATCAAGAAGATTATCCAAAACATCGTTACACTTATCCGAACCGGTCTCCGTCCTCAGCTGCAACCTTCTCTGGGTCAGGTCGTCAAAGATGTTGAAAATCTTCTCAAAATGCGCCTCGAGGCGATGCTTCGAACCACGCAGGCCGATTTTCTTGAGCACGGGAAAGTAATCTGCCAGGTTTGGCTTTCCAGCCTCAACCACGATTTGCCACACCACTTCCTTCAGCTCTCTGGCTGGATTCAAAGGTTCCATCATGTCCAAAGAGAAAATCGTGTTTGATATCGCGTTAATGGTGGTCCTGAAAGCTGCGTCACCGATATTCACTGCCTCACCAGCGCACGCGCATTTCCTAACAGAGGTGATCAGCTCTTGCACTTTCTTGCTGCGAAGGTGTTGGTTCAAGTCGAGTTTCTTGCCTGATAAGATATGCGAGTTGTATATTTTCCTGAGGTATCGGAAGAGAGGAGACACAGGTACCCAGACCACGCTTAGTTTGTCATGGTCATGGGCCATGACGGAATCTGGAACCATACGATTCGAGAAGACAGCATCGTGGGTTTGGAGGATTTCTTTGGCCAGCGCCGGTGAAGAGATCACCACCGTGGTCACAAAGCCGAGTTCCAGCTTGATGATGGGGCCATAAGCGCGAGCGAGCTTGGCGAGGGACTTGTGGGGAAGATCTCCGAGCTGGTGGAGGTTGCCAATGATCGGAAGAGGCCGTGGACCAGGGGGGAGGTTGAAGGGCCGAGCTTTTCGGCCTCCCCTGGCGACGAAGGAGAGAGCTTGGAACAAGCCCCAGAGGAGGTACAAACACAAGATCAAAACTAAGTAATCCATCTCTTTGTGAATCTACAGCCACAAGGTGTGCGATCACTTCCGATAGATATATACTTGAGAGTAAGTGAAATTTTTTTGTTGCTCTCTTTTTCTTAGAGTACTTGGCAACACTTCATTCAAGCCCTCAAAATTCTCTGTCATCGTTAGGCCTAGCTATGCGACTTTTGCCATACTGAAACTAAAGTAGACTGCTTTTTCACGGTCACGTGTTTGACTAAAAACTTCAATTGGCATTTTAGTCTTGCAAATGAAGAGTACCGGAAACTAAAATATTCTTCATATGGATTTCATGGAAATCTATATGTATAGAGATTAACTACGTTACTACAGAATCAAGGACGATGTTCACTAGCAATATATATACATGCAGTATGTAGTATTAGATTCGTATGCAGACAGTATGAATACGTATTGGTCGGTTACATATCTACATACTTGCATACACACACACTCTTCTTTTAAAGCATAGAAGTGCGAAGGATGACGTTTTTCCACAGCTCACTTCAGCAGCACCTAATGCCACCTCAAAAGAATTCAGTGAAAAGACACTGTTGACATGAGAGAGAGAGAGAGAGAGATTGCCTGCCTAGCAATTTATAACGAGGAGTAAATAGAAATCGGTCGATTCATGTCGAGACATCTGCAGTGCAACGTCATTGTTTTCAACCGTCGAATAATACCGATCTGACAACTCTTTGACATCGGGCGACAACAACGTGTCCGTACATCATTGCGATTTTGACTATTGTGAGATTAGAAAGCAATGCTTCCTTAGCCATGCGTGGGGCATCGTGGATTAGGATCGTGTCATTCCACCAAGCGATGTTTAGTTCGCCGATTAGAATGATGTCCGCGCCGATTCAATGCAAGAGATGATTTGCTGTTTGAATCACGCGTCACCTCCGAGCGCACGAATCAAGCAAAGCCAAAGACGCAACCAGCCGCTGATCTTTTGGCTTCGTCTTTAGCATAGGATTGCAACTTACTTTAGCCGTCCTTTCGCTCTTGGCCCTGCACGGCACGACACGACACGACGGACGCGGCTCTTTTGCCCCATCTCGGGTTTTTTTCTATTTTTATCTCGATCCAGTCACCTCGATTGTCGCTGTTCCGTAATGGATCCCCAAAATGTCGAAAACCGGTTAAATTCAATTTCTCGGATCCATTTACCCATGGCAGGAGAAAGGGACGGACGATGCACGACCCGTTCTCGCTAGAGAGAGCCAACCGATCAAACCGGCGAGCACATGACAGGCACATAGACGAAACCTGCCTTTGGACCGAAGGAAGATGCATACTGCACAGTGTCGAATAAGTCATCACGGTTGAAGACAAAAATCTGCGACAACTTCGCATGATGAATCAGAAAATTTGCAAATTTATTTGCAAGGTAAAACCTTAAAATTGTTACTCAGCTTCATTTACGGTTTTTGCTTTCCACCCAAAGCTAATTTTTTTTTTATCTGTCCTATTTCCAACTCTACTCCCTCTTTGACTTCTGCTCTGTTTCTTGTAGAGCGCGAGAGTTGGATACTAGCGTCCCCACCCCCACTCCCCCCAATTCATTCACCAGGGCGGCATGCTTATTGGCTCCTCTCAAAGTTAATAACTAGATGAAAAATTGGCAAATCTTGGAAGAGTTTTTCCTCTCTTTTTGTTTTCTTCCCTAGTTTTTCAAATTTGGGCCAGTGGGTTTCGAAAAAGTTTAGAAGGAGCAATTTAGCCCCAAGGCCCATGTTCTCTGGAGAGCCGACCGTCCAAATTCGGGAGTCATTTGGTCCCAAATCCATCGTTCAATTACAACGACCCACCTACCCATGTCGAAAGTATATCGGATTAGTGTAACCAACCAAGGACCGACGATTCGTGTTAACGTGTCATGATCATATTTGTAATTCCGTGCCGGCTCGTGTTGGCTTTATAATGTAGTGATTCTGATTCTGCACGCCAGATAATTTAATTACGATGGAAACGTGTTAATCTACGTCGATTTATGTAAAGAGAAAAATGATACGTAAAGATTTTGAACCATCTCTTGGGTGTACTTCAAATTATCGTAAAAGGAAAGATGAGCTGAGACCGGCTATTGTTGAGCGGCAGCAAATGAGAAAGACATGTACTTTGATATTATCCAATACCTAATTTATTTTTGAATTCCAATTTATAGAGTAAGAGATTCAATAATAACTTGCCAACTCTCTTGGTTGCTACAAGTTACAATTTTGCTCATGTATCTTTGTGTATGGTCATAATATACTGAAAATGCGTGCATGGATTTTTTTATGAAAACTTTTAATGAATACCATATGTTGAAGAGACCATCGAATTTAATTAATTAATGATATGAATTTGCATACGCGAGATAGGCGAAGGATACAAATTTGAGTCCCAAATTATACAATTTGGAGTAAAAGCTTTTGTTTTATTAATGGTCTGATAAAATGTTGGTGAATACTGGGCCAATAGCAACATCGTAATGCCACATGTACGATCATTCGCTTTCTTCGAGGTCCTTCCACTTCCGAGCAAGCGAGCTTTCCACGTTTCCGGGTCAACTCGGCCAGGACTCAGTGAAATTCCATAGCCAACTCAAAACCCATTTGATCGATCGAAATTAGGAGTGATCGGTTTCCGGTCTGATCCAGTCTTGTTTAGTTTTTGGAACAGGAAACCGGATCGGATTGGTTCCCGGGCAGCTCAATGGAACCGGTGGAGAAGCAAATGCATCTGAGCATACGACATTTGAAGAGCGTTTCAAAGCACAGGGTCGTTGGCTTTTTTGAGTTTTGACCCACCGACTTTGACAACGATCCTCGATCGGAGGGCAACGAACGGCTCGATCCTTCCCCAAAGAAAATTAGAAAAGAGAAAATTATCCTTCGATGCAGTAAGGAGTCAAATCCTGTTCGTGTTTGACCAAAAAAAAAATCCCATCCGTGAAAAGCAGATATCACATGAATTGGGAAATAGCACATAATTTTTACGTGCCTAGCAATAATTTCGAGTTGACGTATGTTTAATCAGTCCGGTCCGGGCGATCCGGTTTCCACCCTGTTTCATTGGAATTGTTCCTGCAACGAAATACAATTCACGAAAAGTTGTTCTTCGATTTTTAATGAAAGGAGATCGGGTTCTGTGGCGACTCCAGACAAGAGATATCCAGGCGTGAACGAAGAACTTACTTGTTTTGATAAGCAACACGGATTCAAACCGTGAATCTTAAGAACTTCGGATTTTATAAACTATTCGGATAGATCCGTTCAACTACTGACTGGCAGCATCCAAACTCCATCGATATCATATTACAGGACTATTGTGCTAAAAAAATGACTACAATTAAAGAAATTGAAAGTACAGTGCTGGAAAGTAAAGATAATTGAAATATAGCATTTTGATTGTGTGTTCGCGGGGGCTGCTTTTCTGGCTGTCGAGTAGTATTTATACTGGGAAGAAGATACCCGTTTCTCTAATGCCATCCGCCAATATCTACCGTTGATCCCATCTTCACTGTTTCTTGCATGACATCTGTCCACTTAACCGTTTGTTTGACTTGGTCCTGACTTTGACACCTATCCCTCTTCATGAAGTAACCGTCGTCGACATTACTCTATCTCGACATCTGTCCTTTCGTGAAAAGTAACTGTCATCGATCCCATTTTATTCTGACACCTGTCCTTCCCAAAAAGTAACCGTCATCGATCCTCATCCTGACACCTGTCCCTTTTGCGAGATAAGCGTCATCGATCTTATTTCATTCCAACACATGTCCTTTTTTTGTGAGATAACCGTCATCGATCTTATTTTATTCTGACACTTGTCCTTACGCAAAAAGTAACCGTCATCGCTCCACATTTCTTGTCAACAACTTCAACAGCCCAGTTTTATCATGACAATCTTCATCGACAATCTACAGTACCAAAAACCAAGCGGCACTCATTCTCTATGACGTCAGTCTTTTCAATTTCAAATTCTTGATTTTCCCGCCAGGATATTCCAGTGATGGTCAGCAGTCTATTGTCACAATTTAGATAATTAACTTTTACAGTTCACGTCATCCTTCGGCAAACCACATATATTTTGTTACTTTGCTCGTCCCCTTTATAATACGTTAGATCGTCGACGACCTAATTTATTTATTGGTGTCAACACACCCGAAATCGGGAATCGGAACCTTGGCAAACCGTCCGGAGCTGGTCTGGCTTGAGTGGTCCCGTTGCATACCCCTGGTCGAAATGCCTTCTCTTTTGATTCTTCACCAGTCAGGCTCTCTCTCTCTCTCTCTCTCTCTCTCTCTCTCTCTCTCTCTCTCTCTCTCTCTCTCTCTCTCTCTCTCTCTCTCTCGCACGCGCAATGTCACCACTGCCTCCTGCGAATCCCACCGCTTCATCATCCTCTTCGCCTGCAAGCGATGCCGATGGTCTCCGGATACATCGGATTCTCTCCAGCAAGCTCTACCTCAACGTTCCTCTCCCCAAGGTAACTACGAATTCGCGCATGCTTGGCCGTGTTCTTGCCGGAGACTTGAGTCCTCGAATCACGCAGGTGCTGCTGATATACGCTCCTTCCTACAACATCGCTTTCCTCGAGATCGAGAAACTGTAAGTGATTGGATGCGCAGATGTTCATTGCTTTATGACGAGGGAAACTGAGCTTCGTTCATAGCGATGGTTTAATCTGTTTCCACCGATAGTTTGATATGGATAGTTTGCATCTTTGGTGTGTCGGATAGATTTGGCGATTCCGCTGTCCGCTATCTTCAAATTCGTAAACGGCGAGGTCTTGTTGATTTTAACTCCTACGGTTTGCTATTCCCATCAAAGACTCTCTTTCCCCCTCAGGAAAGGTGCAAATCTCTCCAAAAGGTTCCCTTCAAACCATTAGCAATAAGATTAGACCTTTTTCTAGATGCCATGCCAAGAAAAAAGATGATGAGTTTGGCTTACATCTTGCCTGAATATCGGAATGTCCAAGGAATCACTGTAACCAGCCTAGGGCTAGCAATTCATGTTAATGAGTTGGAATCGTCCGTGTAATTCATGTCATTGTTGGTATGAAATATCTCGATTTTTATTTAATTATGATGAAAATGTGTCAATTCGTGTCGAATGCGCAACGACATATAAAGCCAACATGTCGTGTCGTGTTATATTCGAGTCTTCTCCTTATGTAATTCGTGTTTTATCTTATATGGTGCAAATAGGTCGTGTCCCGCATTTCCAACTCTAAACTAACATCAATATGATAGACAGGTTTTGAGAACAGGGAAAAACTAGATTTAGTACATAATAAAATAAAATGTAAAGATTTTGAATTATTTTTTTTTATAATTTAAATCATTGTAAAAAAAAAGAGAGAATCATGCACTGAATACTTGATAATTTGTTTTGAATTCCACTTCAGAAAGTAAGAGATTCATTGAAAAACTGCCCAATTGCCTTGGTTATTACAAATTACAATTTTGTTCATCTATCTTTTTGCGTGGTCATAATATATTTCGAATGTATGCATGGGGTTTTTCTCTGATAAGTTAAAATAAAACTTCAAACCGCAACTTATTAGTTTGGAGTAAAGTCTTTTATTTTCTATGGAAATTTTCAAGTAGTATTTTAAGTATGTTATAATTGATTTAGAATATTGACACAATTGATGATTTGAGGCTCCCTTTGTTTCGTGGAAAATAACTTCCAAGAAAATGTTATCCAGATTTTCTAGCATTCGTTTCACGAGAAATAAATTAGCCATATAAAACATTTTCCCTCAACGGAGAAAACATATTCAAAAGTGAGGAAAATATTTTCTTTTCACCATTCATTTTAATTATTTTTATTTTTTCTTTTCTTTTTCATTATTTTCTTTTTTAAAATTATAATTTTTAATTATCTTTTTCTTTTTTCTTTTCTTTTCTTTTTTTTTTTATCTTATTCTCCAGTCGGTGGCCAACCAAAGGCCAGCAACCAGCCACATGCAAGCTCGAGCGTTGCTAGATCGGTGAGGCTTGAGGCCTCGCTAGAGGTTGATGGCTTGTTGATCTAGCGAGGCCCGAGCCTTGCCGCCTCTACCGACACTCCAGCTCGCCAGTGGTCGGTCGCCAATCTTCGCGTGGCCGGCGACCTGCCGAAGAAGAAGATAAAAATAAAGAAAAAAAAAAAGATAATTTAAAAATCGATTCAAAAAAATTATTAAAAGCAGTGTATAGAGGAAAATTTGATTTGATTTTCCATACCGAACGATGGAAAATATTTTGCAGGTCTTTTTCGAATTTCAGCTGAACACCGAAAAATTGTGTTATTTTTTTGGAAAATGGCGTTCTGGAAAATATTTTCCAGAAATGTCACATTTTCTGCGAAATGAATAGAGCCTAAATGTTATTTAACTACTGGGCCAATTTTATTAAGTCCTAAATTAAGAGTTTCCAGCATTATGCAAATTAGACATGGTCTCTGAACATGACTTAATGTGCAATGTAGTTCTTGAATTTTTAAATTATTTAACGTGATCCTTGAACTGTAACCAAATGTGTAATATGATCCATGAATTTTTAGTTTGTTCAATGTGATCCTTAGACTTTTTAATTTGAACAACCCTGAACTTTTAGTTCATATAATTCAGGAAGTAAATTAAACATGTACTAAAAGTCAAAAGATTATATTTGACAAATTAAAAGTTCAGGGATCACATTATATATTCGGTTAAAATTTAGGAATTGTAACGGACCGCACTATACGTCAAGCCAAAATTAAAGATCATATGTATCATTAACACGTTTTCCAATGATGGCCAAAAAAATAAAAAGAAATTGTAAGCCAATGGAAGCATCCTGCTGCCACGTGTAATATCGTTCGCGCCGCTTTCTTCGCGGTCCTTCTACTTCCCAACCCGAGCGGAAGCCTTTCACGTTTCAGGGCGGACTCGGCCGCGACTCGGTGAAACATCCCGAGTCGACTCAGATTCCATCGGATCGGTCGTCTCGCCTTCTCTTCGTTTTGTTTCACCGGTCAGGCACTCTCGTTTCCTCACTCGCACGAGCACTATGTCAACGCTGCAGCCGGCGACTCCCGCAGCTTCATCCTCCTCTCGCCCGGCGAGCGACGGCGACGGCGACGGCGACGGCGTCCGGACGCGCCGGATTCTCTCCAGCAAGCTCTACTTCGACGTCCCTCTCTCCAAGGTAAGTCTACCTAAATCCTCGCCGCATCGCGCGCGCGCGTGCTTGGCCGTGTTCTTGCCGAAAGTCTTGAGTCCTCGAATCGCGCAGGTGCCGCTGATTTACTCGCCTTCCTACGACATCGCCTTCCTCGGGATTGAGAAACTGTAAGTGATTGGATGCGCGGATGTTCATTGCTTTATGACGAGGGAAATTGAGCTTTGTTCGTAGCGACGGTTTAATCTGTTTCCACCGCTAGTTTGATATGGATAGTTTGCATGTATGGGATAGATTTGACGATCCAATATGAGCTCTCCGTGAGCGTGTTTCCGCTGTTCGTGATCTTCAAATTCGTAATGGCGAGGTCTTGTCGAGATGCTGATTCTCGGCGAGCTCAAGCTGGAAGTTTCACTTAGAAAAGCGCATAGAAAGTAAGAAACCTTATCAGTTTGGTTTTAGGCGTTCTATTTTAACCTGATAAGCCAAGTTTGGGTCACCAGTGGAAGAAAGTTGGCTTCACAATCTCGCATAGGGATACTTTGTTTCTCCCCGTGCCAGTAAATTCCTCAGTAAATTCATCCTTTGAGAGAGAATTGGGCACTTTGATATGTGTTCCTCCTTCACCTTCTAATATAAACATCGAGAACCACAAGTCTTTGCCGGGTCGTCAAGTATTCTAGGGGGGACTTTGGATTCTTCACGATTTTCAAGTTCCTTACTTTCTCATGATATAGAACTATTGCATGCTTGGCACAAGATCATGCACCATTAGATAATTTAAGAAAGTCTTTCGTGACCATGTCACTTCTGTCGACTTGATAAAAATAAAAATCGGCTATGAAAGCGGTGAGTACATTTGGACTTGTTGGCTTCATCATCATCTTGTCGATTTTAACTCCTATGGTTTGCTGTTCCCATCAAAGACTCTCTTTCCCCCTCAGGAAACGTGCAAATCTCTCCAAAAGGTTCTCTTTAAACCATTAGCAATAAGATCAGACCTTTTTCTAGATGCCATACCAAGAAAAAAAGATGATGAATTTGGCTTACATCTTACATGAATATCGGAATGTTGAAATGATTTTGTACATGAAACCGGGAGGCTGATCTAACTTATGATCCAACCAATGAGGATTTGATCTTGTCCCATTATTGCGTGCCTCTCTAAACAAGAGTCAGAATAAGCTCTTCATGATTACCAGCTATAAAGGTATATCTGTAATCCTTGTAGGCACCCATTTGACTCTTCCAAATGGGGACGGATATACCAGTTCCTTATTTCGGAAGGTGCTTTAGTAAAAGGCTACATCGTCGAGCCTTTGGAAGCTTCAAAGGAGGATCTCCTTGTGGTACGCTCTGTATTACATAATTAATCCTTTCCGTTTATTTTTATGTTTTTTTACTCATTGTGTTCTGGTTTACTATTGCTATTACTTTTACAGTGTAATCGATGGAAAATATTTGCTCTAACAAATGCAGTTATTAGTTAAGACCAGCCTGGTTTAAGCCTGATGAGTTATGGCTATAGAAGTTAGTTTGAAGGCAATATGTTTTCTAGTTTGTTAGAAGGCCATATGGCATGGGAGGCTCGAGCAGAGAACAAGTTCAAAGAGGTCCTCTTCAATCTGCTTGTTAAATTTGCATCATTGGGTATCCAATTCTAAACATCATTGTAGGTTACAATCTTGAGGTGTCACAGAGATGAACTTTCTTATCTAGCTTGATGGGAAGATGCCACTGTCAATATTTACTAGTTCTCTGGCGCGAACACCAGCCCCTCCGTCCCCCCTCCCCCCCCCCCCCCCAAAAAAAAAAATATTTACTAGTTCATTCTGCTCTAATTTGGTACCCAGATATGATGTAGTTTTATTGAACTTTGAACTGTGTGTCAGAGGTTGACTTATCACTTGTTAGTATCAAATAAATGGACTGATGAAAGCTCACTATACTGATACAGGTTCATTCTGAGTCGTACTTGAATAGTTTGAAGAGCAGTGCTAGAGTTGCCATGATAGTTGAGGTAAATTGAGTGTCTTTGCTTCTGTTCATTTCGACTTTTGAGGTGTCATCTACTTTTGCTCATGATGGCTGAAAAGAGAGAATAGAATTTCTTATTAATTGTGATTATAGGGTTACAAATATATATGCGTGCTTAACCCTACTCACAAACTAGATTACTATTCTACCCTTAATACTCACAATATTTCTCAACACTCCCCCTCAAGTTGGGATATAAATATCAAATAATCCCAACTTGTTACATAAGAAGCTCACTCTATTCCCCCGTAAAGATTTAGTAAAAATGTCTGCTAGTTGATCTTCCGTCTTTGTGTTCTGAAGAATAATCTCGCCTTTTTGAACTTTTTCTCGCACAAAATGACAATCAACCTCAACGTGCTTAGTCCGTTCATGGAAGACGGGATTAGATGCAATATGAATAGCAGATTGATTATCACAATACAGCACTGATGGAGTTGACGGTGACATTCCAATCTCTGATAGTAACATCCTCAACCATACTAATTCACTTGTCACATGTGCCATAGCTCGATATTCAGCTTCAGCACTTGATCGGGAAACAACATGCTGTTTCTTGCTTTTCCACGCAATTAAATTGTCTCCCAGAAACACACAATAGCCTGAAGTAGATCTCCTATCCATAGGACATCCACCCAGCCGGCATCGGAGAAGCTGCGGTGTTTAGATGACCATAATTCTTAAAGCGTAGTCCTTTACCTCGGTGCTCGCTTCAAATATTTGACAATTCGAAGCACAAAGATCCCAATGAGTAGTACGCGAAGAACTCATAAGATAATTTAACTTACCAACTAATCTCCGATACTTCGCTGAATCATGTAATAATTATCCATGTTTTGCGTCAAGTTTTACATTGGGATCCATAGGGGTATCAACTGGCTTTGCTCCAAGAAATCCAACCTCACTAAGAATGTCAAGTACATACTTCCGTTGCGATAAATTGATACCAGCATGTGAGTAGGATACTTCAACACCAAGAAAATATCGAAGACGTCCCAGATCTTTAGTACTGAATTTTATATATAGGAATTGCTTAAGTTTTTGAATACCACCTGAATCACTGCCAGTAATGATGATATCATCCACATATACAACTAGAAGGATACAACCACCGAAGAGACAGAGCCGAAAACCGAATGATCTACCCGACACCGCTTTAATCCAAATTTGATAACCACATCACTAAATCTACCAAACCAAGCACGAGGAGATTGTTTAAGTCCATACAAAGCCTTGTGTAAACGACATACCACATTCTCCCCCTGAGCAACAAACCCAGGTAGTTGCTCCATGTAGACCTCCTCAACCAGATCACCATGTAAGAAAGCATTTTTCACGTCCAACTGATGAAGGAGCCAGCCAAATCGCGTAGCCAATGAAATAAAGACACGAACAGATGGTATTTTGGCTACTGGAGAGAAGGTGTCATCATAGTCGATACCATAAGTTTGAGTATACCCCTTCGCAACTAACCGTGCCTTCAATCGATCAAGAGTGCCGTCCGGGTGAACTTTAACGGTAAAAACCCAACGACAACCAACAGGTTTCTTATCAATAGGTAAGGAAGTAAGCTCCCAAGTTCGGTTCTCCATAAGTGCTGTCATTTCATCCTGGTGGGAGATAAACGACCATATGATAGAAAATTAGAAATAGGATGATGTGTACGGACACAATCAGAAAGACCGGAATAAGGAGCATACTGATCAACAGGACGACCAACACAGGAACGTGTACCTTTCCGAGAAGCAATGGACTGATCGGGATCGAGGCTGGTACCGTGAATCGATGGGGGAACAAATGAATCAAAGTTCGATGAAGACGATCTGTCATAGTCGAAGCAGTCTGCGTCGATGATATGTGTGTTCGGCGAACCAAATTCTGTGGATGTAGCCGGAGAAATGGAAGGTGGTGGAAGTGTCGGTAGGACACAACCATCACCATCACCATCATTAGATGTCATTGGGACCACCGAAGAAGAAAAATATGACGATCTTCAAAGAATGTTACATCTCAGGACACGAACATACGACGGCGAGTAGGATCGTAACATTTGTATCCCTTCTGAGTCCAAGAGTACCCCACAAAGACACATTTTTCAGCACGAGGATCCAGTTTATCAAGACCTGGAGGAAGACAATGTACAAAACAGAAGTTACATATGCAGAAGTTTCCGGCAATCTGGCGGCTAGGTTTGAATAGGTTTTTTTTTTTTTTTTTTTTTGTGTGTGGGGCTCTGATACCATGAAAAGAGAGAACAGAATTTCTTATTAATTGTGATTATAGGGTTACAAATGTATATACGTGCTTAACCCTACTCACAAACTAGATTACTATTCTACCCTTAATACTCACAATATTTCTCAACAATGGCTTCTCCACATTCCAACATGATCTGGAGGTCTTTGTATTGAGAGGATTCACGCATATTTACAGAAAAAACAGGAACACATAAGTGAAAGCATATGAGCTTTGTGGGACATTCTTGCGCTTCTACTACTTGTCAATACTTTGTGAATTTGGAGCATCCTGTTTGCCAGGTACCTCCTGTTGCATTATTGCCCAATTGCCTTGTTGATCAGAAGGTTCTTCGACCATTCCGCAAGCAGGTTTGTATGTGATTAAATATTAATTTTTGGGCCTATTCTTCTATTTTCTTCATTGTCTACATTCTTTCCAGGTGGGGGGAACTATTTTGGCAGCAAAGCTTGCTAAGGAGCGAGGATGGGCCATCAATGTGGGAGGAGGGTTCCACCATTGTTGTGCGGATCAAGGAGGTGGATTTTGCGCTTATGCTGACATAACTCTCTGCATACACTTTGCGTTTGCTCGCTTAAATATATCAAGGTACATGTGGGAGCATTTGAGATGGATGACGGACTTTCTTCCACAAGCGTCTTGAGTCTTGGTTACGCGTCCCCCAAGTTCCAGAGTGGCCTTTGATCTCAGTGTTGGCATTGTGTGCAGGGTGATGATAATTGATCTTGACGCGCATCAAGGAAATGGACATGAAATAGATTTTTCTCATGATAGTATGCTTATATTTTGGTCACAGTTCTTGTTTTATTCGACTTTTTCAGAGTACCTATATTGTTTTTCTACAAACAGGACGAGTTTATATACTGGATATGTTTAATCCTCAGATATATCCATTCGTAAGTCCCAAAGCTACCAGCTTAAAATCAGTTGCTCAGGTTTAGACATGATACACACACATATATATCCTGTTCATTGATTTTCCCCTCCACATGAACAGGATCATGAGGCCAGGAGATACATTAATCAGAAAGTCGAAGTGATGGTGAGGGGAAGTGCAAGTTTTAACTTCAGTTTTAGTTCCTACTACTTAAATTTTTTCATGGTTGTGATAGTTTTCTTCCTTGTGGGATAAATTTGAACAGTCTGGGACCTCTACAACTGCATACTTAAAGAAATTAGATGGCGCGCTTGAGGTAAGTGTATTTGTACGTTTACCTTATGCTTTCTTCTCATTCCTTCATCGACTTTTGCAAGATTTTCTTTTGGGTCATGCTACCTATTTACTTGTAGTTAACTCAGTAATTGCAAACTTTCTGTTTGAAAGTACAAAGCTCTTGGAAATTTCTATTTTCTGTTAAATGTCAATCACAGCGCCTTATCTTGAACTTGAATGAAATGAGGTCGAGCTTGTTTGTTCATTATTGTGTTTTCTTTCTTGATTAACTTCATCTCTCTGATTTTGATTTGATTACATAATGTAAAAGTCCTCCTGCACAAGTTGATTTGAATTTACTGCAGCTTTAGTTAAAAATTCTGTAAATTGCCTAAAGCAATGCTATTAGTATCAAAGACCTGATTCTTGTTTGTTTCTCATTTACTATCTTTTATAAAGAGCTTATCATCTGAGGAGATATTTCAGGATGCCATCCTTGCAGTTAGTGAAACTGGAAGTCTATATGATGTTCAGTAATGATTCTGATGTGTATTACATCATTTTAGGTTGCTGCACGTGCATTTGATCCTGAATTGGTGGTTTACAATGCTGGAACTGATATTCTTGAAGGTGATCCATTGGGCAGGTTGAAGGTATTTATCTTGCATTTGTTTATCATATGGAATTCTTTCGTTGAACTTAGTGATTTTCTCTTTCTGGTCTTGGTGTTAGATCTGATGTCACTTTCTTACCCTATCTATTCATGCTTGATGGGTTGTCCAGATCACTCCAGACGGAATAACCAGCAGAGATGAGAAAGTTTTTCGGTTTGCTCGTGAGAGAAGCATTCCCATTGTGATGGTTACATCAGGTGTGCGCCCCCCCCTTCACGTCTGCATTGACTTTCCCGAGTGCCACCATCTGATAGCTGGTGGAGAATTTTGAGAAAGATGCTTGTACTAGCAGCTTGTGCATCCAAAAGTATTTCTATCATATATATAATATCTCCGTACGCCCAACCTAGGCCAGTATTTGTCTTGGGCAGGGGATGATCTTGAAGACTCGAGGAGTGGCTAAACTTGTGAAATTCCTTCTGGAGCTTTGACTACTATAAATTGATTTCTGTTTTTCTGTTTCAGGTGGCTACATGAAGTCCAGCGCTAGAGTCATTGCGGATTCCATAGTTAATCTGTCAAAGAAATGCTTAATAGATATGGAGACTCCCTCAGCAAGAGCATGATCGTGAGATGCAAGTTCAGTTGCTGACACTCAGGAAGTTACTTGAGAAGAAAGTCCGAGCTAGTTTAGTTGCCCCCGACACGGGAGGCACATACGAGGACAAGGTCCCGTTTCTTTCACTCTCAGTGCTTATCCTAAGGAAGCCTCTTGGTGAAAAGTGAAAAGTGAGCTCGATCCATGTTGACGACTTTGTAACTATGTATATGTGTGTAGAAGAATACCCTCTTCATCGGAATATCCTATTCACTATAGATTTAGTCCAGAGAATATTCTTGGTGAGTATCCGTGTCACTAACCATTAGCCATATTGTCACTACTTAAAAGTTCATATTTGACCATTTATCTATTGTTTTATTTTTCTGTAGAAAAGCGATATGATAAGCATGATAACACCCCTAGAATTAAAGAACAGAGAGCCTTATGTTCGATATGAATTTGGGGTGGTGCCCGACTCTAGTACCATATTAGAAAGTCCAATCCGAGAACTTTGATAAAAGGAGATTGTATGAATGCAAAGGCCTTTGAAACTTTGTACGTAAACATTGGGGGATGTATTTTGAACATAAGGGACGATGAAGCGGAGATTGAATGATTACCTAACGTTAAGTGGACGTGGACAAGCCGAAAAGGGCCGGAGTATCATTCTTTAGGCTTATGTTGTGCGTGAACTATACAATACGTACTCAATACAAATGAAGGTCGGGATCAAGATCAGATACAAGAAATTGCTTGAGCATTATTATCTCTTCCAAAAAATTCAAATTTGTTGAAGATATATCTCGAGCTGGTCAAAGAAACTTGATCCAACTAGGTTTTTTTTTAAGTTTCCTAGTTTGAATAGGTTTCATATTGGTGGGTTTTCTTTATGAAGAGCATCCAACAAGCGATTTCTTCTCAAATTACTCCTTGAAGTAATCACCGGTAAGATTTGTGAATTCGATTGATTGTGAATTCCTTTTGTGAGACTCGAGAGCGTTTGAGTAATTTGAGCGTGAATGTAACGTCTGTTGTATCGCTCGATTTATAATGGATCACGTAAATAGGTATTCGATTTGTTTTCTTGTTCTATTTATTTCATTGTTGGATGCCTTGTTTCGGCCGTAACTTTGGCCTTTCGTAATATAGGCTGAGTTTCGCGGGAAAGAAGCCTTTGTTAGGTACGGCACGAGAGCCAAAAGCACAAACATTCACGTAAATCCCATCCGGTGGGAGCCGAAGAAAAACAGCTTTCATGGACACCGCACACTGTCCACTATCTGGCATCACCCCCTCCATGTCCAGTGCTTGCTCGCCTCATCTCTCACTACCATATATCGTTTGCCCATCCCAGAAATTTTATTATATGTGCAGTAATTATTCCTGCTATATGTATATCAAGTCATCCACCGGAGGGGGCTCTCTCTAACTGATATTCCTCACCCTGAAGGCCGGCCCAAGAATGGCGGAAGTCGTGGCGGTTTTCGACTTCGACAAGACGATCCTTGACTGCGACAGCGACGACTGGGTGGTCGACAAATTAGGCCTGAGTGAGGTGTTCGACCGGCTCAGACCCACCTTGCCTTTGAACTCTCTCATGGTTAGTTGCCTTCCGGACTGCGGTGGGAATGCAGAAACTTAGTTAAAACTTAAAAGGGCCACAAGAAGAACTATTAGATGAAACTTCATATGCTATGACATAAAATTCTCTAGAAAATATTACTGCGTGCACATGACGGCCAGGGAGGCGGCGCCGCCCCCTGGCGCCTGGGTTGGTTGTTGTTGCTTTGGCTGGTGTTCGTCATTGGCTTTTGAGTTTAGTAATTTCTTGTTCGGATGATGTTTGCGACTTCCTTTTTAGCGATTTTTTGTCCTTGGATGCAGGATCGGATGATGATGGAGCTTCATTCTAGAGGGAAAACGATGGAGGAGATTGCTGATTGTTTGAAAGAAGCTCCGTTGCATCCGAAGATTGTCTCCGCGATTAAGTCTGCCCATGCTTCTGGGTATTTCCTTCTCTCTTTTTGAAAGTTAGACAACATAGTTATAAGTTTTGTATGGAGATTTTCAGTAAGTAATTTGGATTGGAAGACGAGCAAATGGATGTGGAACTGGTGATGGTTACACTCATCAGGGTAAAACTGTAATATCTGGACATGTTCTCTGCAACTCCATTGCTTTGATATCGCCCGCATCGACTTGTGTGTACTTCGAGAGAAGCGCGTCGTGTTCAGCGACTGGTTGTCTCTATTCATTGAACCGCTAACGATGAACTCAGGTGCGATCTGAGGATACTGAGCGACTCGAATGTGTTCTTCATCGAGACGATCCTGAGACATCACGGCCTCATAGACTGTTTCTCTGAGATCAACACGAACCCCGGCTCTGTCGATGCACAAGGCAGGCTCAACATCTCACCTTATCATGACTTCTACCATCTGTCTCATGGCTGCAAGATTTGCCCTCCAAACATGTGCAAGGCAAGCTGTAATTTCTCTTGGGCTTTCATTAACTTTCTTGCTGATGATGGTGATAAAGCTTTTTCATCGAAAGGGCTAACAGAAACTTGCCTACTTAGTGTTTACAGAGAAGAAGAGCAGCTACTTTCTTTGCTTTCAATGGACAAAGTCTGTCTCAAACGCTTGTTCTTGGCCTACAGCATGTCTGATTGATCTCTCTTCTCACTCTCTTGATAGGGTATAGTGATGGACAGAATTAGATCGTCGGCCTCTGCCGAGCGAAAGAAACGTTTCATCTACGTCGGAGATGGGAACGCCGACCTCTGTGCGGGCATGAAGCTTGAGGAAGCAGATGTTCTGCTTCCCAGGAAGGGCTTCCCCGTGTGGGATCTGATCTGCCGCAACCCGACCCTCATAAAAGCAAGGGTTCGGGAATGGACCGACGCGGCCGAACTCAAGACCGTCCTGCTAAATTCGGCTGGCACATTGGGCTGCGCGGAAAATGGAAACGCAAAGGCCATCCACTCGATCGTCGTGGCCTGCAAGTTCCAGACGAGTCTTGTCGGCGCGGCGGCCCCTGAATCTCCTGTCGTTCGTCGGGAGCGCGAGGCTTGTTCTTCCATTGCTTGATGGAAATTAAAAGACCAGGTTGCCTAAGTATAAGATAAGTGTTACCTGGGCAAACATGATGGGGTCCTAATGCATGTTTTCAGTTTGTTCATGACAATAAACAAGTTGTATCTAAAGCCCACGATGCAAATTTCATTTAATTCCGTAGTGGCAACTATATAAAAATAAATTTCGACCCAAAAAAAAAACTATATACGAATAAATAATTTCGGGATGTAATTATAAACTCGTAGCTCATGAAGAGTTCTGGATTTGTTGGAGCCAGCGAATTTCTAATTTTGTGTCATTTTCTTTTACCGCGCGGAATTTATGAACGAAAAAACATATATAGATATTAATAGGGGAATTTTCGTAATTATCTGAGTTGAATTACAAAGCTCTAATTTCGGATCCGTGAGCGGGCCGCGCAATATAAAAGGCGCGGCGAAATCGATGGTCATGTCGTTAATTTGTGATTAATCCAAATGAAGACAACCAAAGGGACCCTTCAATTAGGGAAAAATTACGAAAAAAAATGCCTATTAAACTTGGCGAAAATTTCAAATCAGTACCCAAAGTGGGGTCATTTTCTCAAAAAAGGGTCCAAAGTGGACATAGTGTCAAATAAGGGCCTGAAATGCCCAATCATCTTAAATAGGGGCCCGAAGTGCCCAATTAGTCTCAAGTAAGGGCATGGGTTCACCGGCCGATCAAATACTTACCGGCGAGCGAGTACGGTTACTATTTCGGCGACCGGAAAAGGGCAGTTTTGTCTTTTTCTTTTTTTTTTCCTTTTTCTATTTTTTTCTTTTCCTTTTCCTTTTCTATTTTTTTATCTTCTCTTCCCTCTGCCGGCCACAGCCAGGGCCGGCGGAGGTGGCCCTCGTCGGCGTCGGGCGAGGATGGCCCTCGCCCGCCCAACCCAGGCAAGGGCTACCCTTGCCGGCATCGGGCGAGGGCGACCCTCACCCGCCCAGCCCGGGCGAGGGCAACCCTCGCCCCCCCAACCCAGGCGAGGGCAGCCCTCCCCCAACGCCGGCGAGGGCAGCCTCCGCCTAAGGCTAGCGACCTCCGCCGACCCCGGCTATGGCCGGCGAAGGGAAGAAAAGAAAAAAAAACAGAAAAGGAAAAGGAAAAGGAAAAAAAAAAGAAAAGAAAAAGACGAAATTACCCCTTGTTCCGGTCGCCGGAACAGTAACGTGCTCACCCGCCGGTGAGCATTTGACCGCCCCGCGAACCCAGACCCTTACTTGAGACTAATTGGACACTTCGGGTCCTTATTTGAGGCCGATTGGACACTTCAAGCCCTTGTTTGACATTATTTCCACTTGGGGTCCTTTTTGAGAAAAAGACTCTACTTTGGGTCCTTAATTGGAATTTTCCCTTAAACTTGTACCAATTCAGTTATAAATCTTTTGATTTTGCCAATTTAGTCCTAAAGCTTATGATAATTTGTCAATATAGTCCATCCAGCCAATTTTTATCGGAAATTACTGAATGTGGCACTGCCAACGCTAACATGGACAATTTTGCATTTTTTATTATAAATTTTTTGACTTTTAAATTATTTAATTTCTTTCGTTTTCCTTTATTGGGGCCCTAGCGACCCTTGCGGGCCATTGACGAGGGTTATGGCCATTGCCGGCCAAGAGTGACGCGACCCTTGCCTATCTCTCTTTGGTCACTGGCAAAAATAAAAGAAAAAAGGAGCAAAAGGAAACAAAATTAAAAAAAATTATTTAAAAATGTCTACTTCAACGACCGGCGCTAACTAGACCGCCACGTTAGTATTTTCCAGTCAAAATGACTCAAAAACCAACATTGGCAAATCGTTAAAATGTTTAGGACTAAATTGACACGATTGAAATTTTTATAACCGAAGTGGCACAAATGTAATAGGTTTGTGATTTTTTTTTATAATTTTCCCCTTCGATTGGCAACCCAATCAAGTGTCCAAATGCTATTCATTAGTGATCATCGTGTCCGACGCAACGACGTCTAGAGCCTTCAACCTAATATCCAATTCAAGAATTTTAATATCGGCAAACATTGGACTTAAATAATAAGAAAAAAAGTGTCCTTTTCTTTATGACGTCACAAAACATGGACCAAAGGCCCGAAATTAGTGCAGACCTACGACACATTTGAAGTGGCTTTGATCTAGGAGCTGTCCATGAGCTGAAAATGTCAACGCTGAAAGTAACTTTACACACATTTTCTTCCCCCCTAATCTATAGTCCAAAAGCCCATCTATATATTATCTATTATCCCCTTCTATAATTAGCAAGACTTAGCTTGGATACTCATCAAATCTTACCACAAATTTTCCCTTCATGAGAAACCAAAAAGAAAAGCAGATTCGCTCCAATATCGTGTGGCATCTAAAGGAATCTCACCCCAGAAAAAGGAAAAATTTCAAATAAGGACATAAAGTGCGATCATTTTCTCAAAAGATTGCCCAAAGTGAATATTATTTCAAATAAGGATATAAAGTGGACAAGTCAGTTTCAAATAAAGGTCTGAAGTGGACAAGTTAGTCTCAAATAAGAGTCTGACCATGTTGGCCGGAAAATGCCCTTATTTGAAACAAGTCCACTTTGGGTCCACTTCGTGCCATTATTTGAAACAAAATTCATTTTGGGTCATCATTTGAGAAAATCACTCCACTTCGGGCCTTTATTTGGATTTTTCTCTTAGAAAAACATAGCTAATTTGCAAAATTCGACAGGCTTCCACTAGGGGCGATCACTTCCCGATCGGTTCGATCCAATGGAACTTGTCACTTTTTATTTTTTTTCACCACAATAAGAGAGAGTGACAAATCTCAAGATCTTGACAAAAGCGATAATGAGTGAAGAGTCATAATGGTGCGACGATTAGGGGAAAGTGTTGTACGTGGGTTTAGTTCACATTTTACTAATATTTTTTGAAGAAATAAAAAAAATATATATGTAGTCGGTCTGGTCCGATTTGGTTCCCTCTTGGAATCGGGAACCGGACCGACACTCCCGAGAACCGGACCAAACCGATTGGTTCGGGTGGTTCGTTTTGCACACCTCTAGCTTCCACTGTTACTGTTCTAAATTTTCCCTGAATCAAAAAAAAAATGTTAAAGTCACGAAAATCCCAAATTGGTATCCGTACCACATTTAACCCAAAGTCATTTAGAGGTCACAAGAAAAAAAACATGTGACCGATACCCCGTGACATATTTATCTCAAAACTAATTTTCACGCCACCAAAAATCCCTAACTGCCTTCTCGTTCCCCTTACGTAAAAGAGCTTCTCATTATCACTGCCGAGAACATATTCATCGTCACTTAGAGATGACGTGTCGGGATCGTACTCCGGAATTGTCACAACTCTATCGGTTTGAATTTTTCGCGCTACGCGAAAATTAGCTCGGGATAAATATATCACGCGGGTATTAATTTGAGATTCTTTTTATTTATGATACGAAAATCCGTTCAAGGTAGACATGGCACGTCACTATCGGTCGGAGATTCTTCGTAGCATTACTCCGAGGGAAAAGAAAAGAAAAAAGGAGGAGGACAAACGGAAAGCAGAAAACAAAGAAAGGGAGACATCTTCTCTCCAAATCAAATCTTCAGCTCGATTGATGCTGCCCCAAGACAATGGCATCACCACTGCTGCTTGCACTGGTTCGTGCAAAACCGCAAAACCCCAAAACCCATGTTTACTTTTTAACTGCTCTTTAGACAGCATCCTTGGTATCTACGCCTCCCCAGGATTATTTTAATCCTGGGGATTTCGATTGAATAATGTTTCCTGTCATCATCAACCAAATTAACATCACATCCTCCCCCCCTCTCTCTCTCTTTCTCTCTCTCTCTCTCTACTTTCCATCTGAAAAGAAAAAGAGAGGAAAGCTTAAGAAGGGGAAAAGGACAACAGGGGACCTTTGCCCCCATCATCTCCATTTGCTCCCCATTTTCCTCTCTCTTGATAGGACCCCTCTTTTCTTGCTTAATTTTTTTTCCCTTCTTTTCTTTCTTCTTTTCTCCCCCAATTTTTTCTTTGCCTCTTTTATTAGGCTCTCTGCATATTTTTTTTTGGATCAATATCACGAAAAATTTCAAACTGATACATTCATACCAAATTTACCCAAAATTAATTTTTTGACCACAAACCCTAAACTGATACGTTTATAACAAATTTACCCTTATTAAATTAGATTGATACAAAAAAAATCACAAACTAGTATACATGTGACAAACGGAGGGTACAACCCAAAATTGGTATATTCATTACCATATATCATTTAACTCAACAATTTAACAGTAAAATTTAATGAAGGGTAAATTTATCACAGATGTATTGGTTTTGAATTTTTTGTGGTATTGATTATATTTTTTTAATGTTTTCTCAGGTCCCTTTTCTTTTCTGTAAAATTTTATTTGTGAGGGAATTGAAGGAAAAAAAATTGGAGCTTTTAATGGATACGAATGTCAAATCGTTTTCCAACTTTTAATTCCAGTCCACTTCATGTAAGGAAATAAAGCAAACATGTATTTCCACGCTTACCCAACAATGATTACGATGATTTTTCGCGAAATAAACAAAATTTCTAATTTTTCTCTCGATTTATATAATATCGAAAATTCCACAATGAGTAATCCTTTGTGAGGTACTATGAGATATTCAAGCTTTTGGTGTTTGATAAGTAACCATAGCCCCCTCCTCTTGGGTTATTAGCTAATATAACGACATCCGATTCAAAGAAAAAAATGAATTTTCCCGGGTACACCCAATAATATCTATACTTATTCCACCAAACATATGGAATTTCTGGTTTTTTTTCTCGATTTATGCGACACCAAAAATTTCACGATAAAATTTCCATTTTTCTCACCTTTTTTTTTTTCGACGTACCGAGGTTTTTACTGTACTAATCTCTCCTCTTGGAAGGGCCTACAGAAAGTAAATAAGATAACAATAAAATATGGACAGGGAAAAAAAAAGGGAAAAAAATGCGAAAAAGATAGAGAGAAAAAGAAACTCAGAGAGAGAAAGACACACAGAAGAGAGAGAAAATTTTCCTGTGCTCGTTGATTTCCTCTCCCCAACACAGAGAGAGAGACAGAGAGAGAGAGAGAGAGATCTGATTGACGCTGCCCATTTCCCTCCTCCCGCAGCGAGA